AGATTAAGACAAGTACAAACATGGGAAGGAAAATCAGAAAAAGAAATTTTATACATTTTTAACCCATAATAACTATACTCATATGTTACCTTAAATTTAATATGAATGTCAACTAGATGCTAACATTATGCTATGGAAAAACAAATGCAAATAAGTTAAAATGCTTTAAACAACATGTTTAATGAATCTCTTATTTCAAACACAAGTCTACAATTTCAATTAGAAAATCAGATTTTCTCATTCTCATTAAATAATAATGAATAGGTATTTACTGACTATTGGGCTAAAGCAGTATGAAATTATTTTGTTTGTTTGTTTGTTTTGGTACTGGGGATTGAACTCGGGTCCTTGCGCTTGCAAGGTAGGCCACCGAACTGCTGAGCTAAATCCCTGGCCCAGTATGAAATTATGTTTGCTTAGGCAATTACAAGTTTTAGGCTAGAAATGATTGAAATATAAAACAGAAACCATACCCCTATCCTTGTGCCACCAATTCCCCAAGATCATTAGTATCTTTTACCAGAGATGTAGATCTCTTTATTTGGACTTCCTCCCCGCTGTGTGCTCCTTTTACTAATGCTTCTCTTCTGACCTGAGTGAACACATGGAGGGGCTATGAGAGGTTTATTGCCTACTTGTCTTAGCTGAAATACTTTGGCCATGAGTAACAGAAAACCTAAGAAAATAGCTTTCATAATAAGAAATATTTGTTATCTCACATAAGAAGTCCAGATGAGAATGCAAGTTGGCTCAGTTAATGTCACCAAGGGTCCGAGTCCTTTCCATTTTTCTGCTCTGCCATTCTCATTATTAACAGTAGCTGTATCCAGTTTCAAGCTTCATCTGCAGACACAACATTTTTCTATGTGTCTCTTCATGAACAAGCAAACCGCTCTCAGAAGTCTCCACTGACCAGAACTGCATGCAGTGACCTACCCATTTCTATACCCTTCACTGATGAGGAAGGTGACTGGTGTCAGGAAGCACAAGGCCAAGGGAAGAAGGCTAGGTTACAAAGGAAGACATGCAGTTTTGTGGAAAGAGGAAGAAGGAACATGGATAATGGGGAAACCACACCAGTGTCTATTTCACCCTTCGAGGAGTTGTGGGTTCCTCTGTATTACAGGCCAGAATTAACTTTCTGCTGCCCTTCTCAGGACCATGTACTAAACAGTAACAGATTTTTGCTGAAAGAAAGGCATTTTGTCTTTCTCTTATGAGAACTCTCCCTATTTCTCCCCCTACTTCCCTCCCGATCCCTGACCTCCACTGATACTTCTACTCTTCTGTTACCTTTTTTTTAACAGTAACCCTAGACGATCCTTGCTCTCCCATTGTGCAGACCCCTATTTCTTTATCCTACCACATATTTTAAGCATTTCAGGACACAAGAGATTACAATGGAGTTATGTTCTTAACCTGTAAATAAAACTCTACCAGTTTTCCAATGAAATGGGCCAGAAATTTGATAGAAAAGTTTCCAAAAGTACCTCCATAAAATTCTGGGAACATTCTGTAAAAATAGAGGCATGACAGCATATGGGCATTATCCCAGCACTCTGGAAAGGTGAAGCAAGCTGGCGAGTTCAAGTACCGGCTGGGAGTTACTGAGTTAGTGAGACCCTGTCTCAAAAAAAAGATAAGACAGGCTGGAGATGTAGCCCAGTGCAAATGCCCCCAGTACAACCAAAAAAAAAAAAAAGAAAGAAAGAAAGATTCTATAATCAAGTAAATCTGGGTAATTTTGTATATGTATTATGGTTTCTGTTCAGATGTCCCACCCACAACCCCCACCAAAGCCTCATGCAGATGAGGTGGGACTTTCTTTCCCAGAAGTAGTTGAATCTGGAACGTGGGATGCTGGAGTTAAGGGCATGTGATTGCTAAACCACTACACATGAGTGATTAGTTTGGCACCGCCCTGATCTTGGCAGTGTGAATATGATAAAAGGGGCAGGAAGACACTGTTAAACTCCCTTGTTGCCTTGGCTACCTTGTGTGCACCATGTTGTTTCTCCACTGCCATGCCTGTTTGCCATCCCAGCCTTGGAGCTAACCAGTTATGGACTGAAACCTCTACAAATTGTAAGCCAAATAAACCCCTTTCCCTCTAACTTTGAGCGTTGGGTATTTTGTCTCAACAATGAGAGAAAAGTAACTAACACAATATGCTTTCCTTCTTGTGTGGATTCAGGAGCTCTAAGTAGTCCTCCAATCAAATAATTCAGAATGAGTTCTAGAATAAATCTCCCTGTGTTCTCCTACTTTCCAAGCTTTATAAATGCCATAAGCCTCTATTTTCTCATTTGAGAAAAGGGAACCTAGGGTCGCTATGTAAGTGAGATTGCTGTTGGGTGAGATAACCTATGCAAAGCTTTCAGTACTGTGCTTTGTGAATCCACATTCACTCACTTAACAAATATTATTGAATATCTTCTATGTGTCAAGTCTCATGGAGCCTACATTCTAATGGGAGAGGAAGGGACAGATGATAAACACGTAAATAAATAGGATAATTTCAGATACTGATGAACACTATAAGAAAAATCTAACATAATGATTTTGTAAAACATAACTAGGTTGTGAATGACTGTCTTAGATGGAAGAGCCTGGAAAGCCATTTCTGAGGAATGCATTTTATCTGAGACCTGAGATATGAGAATGACACTAGAGTCACTCATTCATTCATTCATTCAATAAATGTTTTTTCAGCACTTAACACGTACCAGAGACTAGGAATAAAGCAGTAGACAAAATTAGCTAAGTCGCTGGATGTGGTGGCGCTCGCCTGTAATCCCAGCACTTGGGAGGCTGAGGCAGGAGGACCGCTGTGAGTTCGAGACCAGCCTGGGCTACATAGTGAGTTCCAGGTCAGTCTCAACTACATAGTGAGACCCTGTCTCAAAAAACCAAAAAAAAAAAAAATTAGATAAGTCACCTGACCAAATGGAACTCAAATTCCAGTGTGAGAAAACAAAAGTAAAAAGGAAAATATATAATGTACCAAGTAACTAAGTACTGTGGGGTAGAAGAAAAAAAGAAAATGAAAGAATGTTTAATTGAAACTCTAAATTTTTAATAGGGTGGCAGGGCTCCCTCACCAAAAGGGTGATATATAAACAAAGACCTGGAAGTAGTGAGAAAGTGAGCCATGCAGAAATCTGAGGAAAAGGACTGGGGTGTGACTCAGTATTAGCGTGGATGCCTAGCATAGATGAAGCCCTGAGTTCAGTCAGGAAGGAAGAACGAATGAGAAGGAGGAAAGGAGGGAGAGAGGAAGGCAGGCAGACTGGACGAAGATAATTTGAGGCAAAAAGAAGCAAAACGTGCGAAGTCCATGAGGCAAGAGCATGCTTGATGCATGTAAGGAAGACCAAGGACACCAGTGTGCCTAAAGGCAAGTAAGTAAAAAAGAGTGTGGTAAGAACAAGGCACCAAACTATGTAAGAATAAGCAAAGGTCTGGAGTAAAATTCTTCCAGGCAGATGGTGAGGCAATGGCAAAGGCCCTGAACCAGAACTAATGTTGGCCTATTCAAGCAACAGAATGGTTGAGAGACCTGGAGAAAACTGAACACAGGGAAGAATTAGGGATGAGCTCCAAAGAGTCATCAATCAGGGTCAGATCACATGGAGCCTTAGAATTGTACGACAGTGTAAGGGATGCTCATATATATAT